TTGATCTCATATATCATCCTGATGCCGTGTAATGAAAACTATATATGCGTTATATTTTATCGGAACCTAATATTCTAATTGTATTTACATACTTCGAAACATGATAATAACCCATTCCCCAAGATATCAAATCTTTTTCATTGCAACGTTCTTATACGAGCGCTTAAGACGCTGAGGGTGAAATCTGGAAATTGAGTTAATTAGCTTTTGATCCATAAGGAATAGGTCTTAACCTGGAAAAGGATTTGGGTTTCGCCTCCGTGTAACGAGAGAATAAGTCTGTCGGGAATTAAAGATAATTTGCAGCAATGATAATGAAAATCAGCTCTTGTATTGATATACAGGAGCAGAAAACACTGTCGCCTGACCAGAAAGATGAAAGACAATGATAAATTTAACACACACACTCTCTCTCTCTCTCTCTCTTCGTTCAAGCGACACAAAGTTAAGTTGTTGTGTAGGCCTATACTAAAAATGAAAGGCTCAATTTTGTTGGCAACAACACAATGAGTTGTTGTTGTTATGTTGTTGTTGTTATGTTGTTGTTGTTGATGCTGTTGCTGCTTTTGTTGTCCTGCGGGCCTATTTTTGGTTTGTATTAGTAACACAAGTTCACAAATAGGAAAACACACACACACACTCACACCCACACGTGCACATAATTATACAAAGTCCAAAAATGAAACAGGAAGAAGAACAAAAGAATTATAAATAGTAAGATGAAATTAATGTTTTTAATTTTAAAGGTAATACAAATTGTGGGAAGGTTTGAATATAGGCTGGATAGTGATTATTTGCAATTTGGAAATATTTGGATGCCTCTGTGGATGTATTATAAGCACTAGAATATTTAGCCCCTAAAACACTTCTGCTTTCGAGAAAAAATCGAATATTAAAATTTACCGGTGGTCCCGGTAAATTTCGATAATTTTCAAATAGCGCCTACGGCCATACAACGGTAGCTGCGACCATTACAATCTCAGAATATGTAGTTGTGATATATAATTTCCAAACGGGAATAGCCAATCGGTCGATTTTAGTCAAGAAACATTGTTTTATAGCTAAATTAATATCTTGACCTTGAGAGGGAGCTATACAACGAAAAGAGTTTATTATTTACAATTTCATCACTTTAGACTCGATTTCAACCGCGACAACGATCACTGAAATTCATGACCCCCATACCGAAACTTTGTAATACCTTTAAGTGAAATTTCCTTGTGAAAATTGCGATCTGAAAAAAACCATCTCATAATAATATACGAAAAAAAGAAGGAGAGGAAAAATGACGGCTCGGGCAACATATTTAGTCTATCATCATAATTTAGCCTTAGTGATACGTTCCTTAATTTTTTTTTTATTCTTTAAAGTCTAACTTGAAGACAGTCCTGTTTTCGAAAGCGCACAGTACGTTAATGCAATCGTAAACACACTTTGTACTATCATGTATTCTTCTTTTTTGCACTTCGTGTAAGCAGAAAGATGGCATAATATTAATGCATTATATAATTACTACAGTATTATTATACCGTTCGTGTTTTTCGCATTATGTAATACATGTACGTCACTAATTTTAGTGCGGGGGGGGGGGGGGGGGGGGTAGTGAGCACAATTTTTTTGGGGCCCTGAACAATTTGAAAAATCGCACCCCCCCCCCCCCCCCCTCCCCCCTTGAGCGCCACGGGAGGGGACCCATCTCCCCAAAAAACAAGTAAAATTAACATGTTTTTTTCCCGATGATTTGAAGTAAGCCACATAAAACATACTTGGTTCAACTTTGTATATGAATTGCACAATAAATAATTTGGAGTAAAAAATTCAGGAGTCGCTTAATTGCTTCCCGAATTCTACCTTTAAATAAAAGGCGTTAGTAGGCCTATACCCTTTCCTGCGTGCAAAATGAACGACGTGTAAATCGATTTGCACACCAAATGTAGCGACTACGTGCCTTCCTGGCTGCAAAAATATATTTGTACAAGGGTGAGAGTTGAAAGGGTGTTATCGTCCTGTTTAATTAGTTTAAAGTAATGTAAGATATCACACATGACTGTTACTCTCATTGTAATTATCACTACTTGTTCATCACAGATTACGTCTGTTGGCACACAAAGGGGCATCACAGAGACGGCTGCTGTGTGCTATGGATTCACCAGGTAATCTCTGGCCAAGTTCACCAGCTTACTGACCAACTCGAAATGATTGGTGACATACAGGGGCGGTGGAGTGTCTTAAACAGTTGGGGGGGGGCTAGAGCAAAAAGGGCAATTTCTGGAAAAAGGGGCACTCTACAAAGGAATATCTCAAAGCGAAAATATACAATATTTATACATTGGTAGGCCCTTATACCCCTACATTGTGACTAGATCATCAGTCATGATTTCATTGTTTGTTTCTCTCTTTACATGGTCCAAGGAACTGCTTAAATTTATTTGCGAGCGGTCAAAAAGTTTAAGATTTGCGAAGTGGTAGTGCGAAAAATTACATCTTATAAATAATGATAATAATAATAGTGGGTTCTTGAACCTAATCATGAAAGGCTAAACAAATCTTTAATAAGAAACAAAATTCGAGTGAGCATAGCGAGCGAGCTTTTGGTGAAATTGAAGGAAAAGTCGCTCTCAGTTGCTTTAAATTAGGAGCACAATTTTCATTGTGAAAGGAAAAGGGGGCAAATATCCAAAGTTAAACGGTCAACTATTAGAAAAGAAAAAGTGCACGTGTCAAAGTAAAAAAAAAAAAATCGGAATTATCAGAGGTTAACTTCTCGCAACTGATAAGGGACACTCACCAGAGAAGTAACAGGAACATATGAGAACAGAAAGGGGGCACTTATTACATAGGGAAAGGGGCAATTATCAGAAGGAAATTGGCAGTAAATAGAATGGGTAGTGGACACGTGCCAAAATGAAATGGGCACTTTTCAGATAGAAAAGAGGCACTTATTGCAACGTTAACGGGGGGGGGGGGGGACCTTCTAAATTTTAATAATGGCACTCATGAGAGATGGCAAGAGATAGGCCTATATAAAACAGTAAAAAAAAAAAAAAAAAAGGGACACCTCTCAGATTTAAAAAGAGACAATCAGAGGTAAAGGGGCACTTATCAGAGGTGAGGGGCATTTTCTTGTACATAAGAAGGGACATTCACCGGAGATGATAAGGGGCACTTATTACAAAGGAAAATGGGCAATTGTCGAAAGAAAGGGGTCACCTACGAGATTATCATACGTGTGATAAGGGGCAATTTGAGTAAGGGAAGTGGTTATTAAGGCTGATAGAGACTGCCTAAGTGGTAGATCATTCCAGTATTTTGAAGCAGATACAGTAAATGTCCTATTTAAAAATATTCTTTATTTATTCTTTGATTCAAAGGAAGCCAGTGTAATGATCTCAAGAGTGGCTGAGATGGATGGTCACTGGAAACCTGAAATTTCAATCGGGCTGCCCAAATTTGTAATCGTTGCACACGATCCAATTTAGTCGAGGGAATGGTAAAGAGAAGCCCATTACAATAAACAATATGGGATAGAACTAAAGAACGCACAGCATTTAATATGACAGGCAGACTGGTCAATATCCTAGCAATATTCCTTGAATAAAACGTAGCCATATACTGACAAGTGCGAGAATCAAATACAACACCAAGGTTCCGTATTGCTTTTGAAGGTCTAATGAGTGTGCCACCAACCAGGCGCGTATCCAGGATTTATTAGGGGCGGGGGGCCCAAATTTGAAATTATGCGAGCCAAATATTGGTACGTAATGGTGACCAGCAGTGGCCTAATAGGGGTGGGTGCAAGGAGGAGCGAGTTCCCCCTCCCTCCTCCGCGAAGCGCGGAAGCTTTGACGTTTCGTTAAATCCTTAGAGAAAGAACACGAATCGTTGTACCGTTTTCGAAAATAATCCTCGTCGGAATTCAGTTTCCACCCCCTCCCTCCCTCCCGCGCGAAGTGCGGTATTTTTTACGTTTCATTAAATCATTAGAAAAAGAAGACGATTCGTTGTACCGTTCTCTACTCTTAATCCTTGTCTAAAATCAGTTCCCCCCTCCTTCGCGAAGATCGAAAGCTTTGACGTTTCATTAAATTATGACAGAAAGAAGACGATTCGTTGTACCGTTCTCGACTCTTAATACTCGTCTAAATTCAGGTTCCCCCGCCCCCCCCCCCCCCACCCGCGCGAAGCGTGGAAGCTTTTACGTTTCATTAAATCATTAGAGAAAAAGACGACTCGTAATACAATTCTCGACTCTTACTCCTTGTCTAAATTCAGTTTTCCCCCCCCCCTCCTCCCGCACGAGGCGCGTAAGCTTTAACGTTTCAATAAAATTAGTAGAGAAAGAAGACGATTCCTTGTACCTTTCTCGATTCTTAATCCTTGTCTACATTCAGTTCCCCCCCCCCCCTCCTCCCGCGCGCAGCGCGTAACCTTTGACATTTCAATAAAATTAGTAGAAGAAGACGATTCGTTGTACCGTTCTCGACTCTTAATCCTGAATGTTCTTTGTCTGCTCTTTTTTCTCTCTACGTCCTCTTCCTTTTCTCTCCTCTCTTTTTTTGTTGTTGGTTGTTTTTGGGGCCGCCGGTTTTTTTTTTTTTTTGGGGGGGGGACCGCCCCCACCGCACCCTTTGCTACGCGCCTGCGGTCAAATGAACATACTTTGATACCTTTTCCGCCCCGGAAGCTCAGGGGTTTCCCTATACCTTTCTTCTTTCTCTTTTTCTTTCTTTCCCTTTCTCTCCTCTTTCCCTTTCCCTTCCTAATTTCTTTCTCTCTCTTTTAGGTTTGCTGGGGGGGGGGGGGAGGCAAGGGCCTTTTAGTAATTATTAATGCATGCTTAAATCTTACCGGTGTTAAAAAATAACACCACAGAGACAACACACCTTTATAATCAACACCAGTGGTGTCAAGAAAATTCAATACCATACTGGTGTAAGAATTTCTACACCCTGGTTTTTACAGTGTACTGTCTTTTTCCTTCTCGATTGGATGCTTTGGAGACACTATATTCCTTGTTACTATCGGTCGCGGGTTTAATTTAATGGTCGCTAGTTTCAAGGAGTGTTAGAGAGAGGGAGAAAGAGCTAGAGAAGCCTGTGCAGTCCATCTCTAAATCTGTAAGTTCTTTGTCACATTAATGTTGTCCCCCCAAATAATTATTTACCTCTTCCATGTTTTATATTCAATATTGTTTTGCTTCTCAAAGGTGACGACCGCGACCGTAAGTTCGTAACCCGTGATTTCAGCTCAGCCACAGTCCCAATCGTACGCACTGGTGCTGGTGCAATGTTTCCCAGTCAGAGTGACGAGAGCTGAAAAAGGAGCCCGTTTTCGGCCACTTAAGACAAAATCCTATTTTTAGGACTCTTTACTTCCTATTTATTATCATTTCTTGTTCAAATCATGAAGCAAATATTATTATTATTTAAACAAAAAAAGAATCCCAGAAAAAAATCACGAATTGCCATGACAATATTCATTTCAATTTTCACTGTTTTGGAGCCCGTTATCGGCCGGGCGTTTCAGTTTACGGCCGCATGTACAAAGTCAATAGGAAGCGCTCGCGCGCGCCGTGCGTTTCCGCGCTGATGTACAGCACAAGCGGGCGGAGCAGGTATCCCACGCCGGAGCTCCCTGGTGCTCGCCTGGCCGAAGACAGGCACAGCGGTGATCGGAAGTTGGAATCTGAATTAGACAGAGATATCGTGTGTGCGTCGCGGTGTGCGGCTGCATTGATTTAATACATGCGATGACATACTTTTGAGCTTGCGACTAGCACAAAATCGGGCTTTAAATCTGAAAAATACTTGAAATAAAGCTCATTTTATGGTACCCATATTTCTTACAGACACGCGTAAGATACTCGATTTTTCAGATTTGGGTAGCGGGACCGGCGATTACATCGCTAAAATGTGATATTTTAGGATATATTTTCCATTGCAAATGTGGTTCTTCAGTGACACTGGCATGGTATGGTATGTGTGGGATATGTGTTATGCTATTATGCGATGTATTTTAGAGTGATTTTACCTTCATCCAACCAATCGGCCGAAAACTGGAGCTGGCCGATTACGGGCTCCTTTACTCTAGATCTAGGCCTAAAATCTAGGCCTACAGAATTAACTCCAGGGGGGGGGGGGGGGGGGGGGGGATTGACTAAAAAAAAAAAATTGAAGTTCTCACTTAGGGGGATATAGTCTACAGGCAGTACTTTGCAGGAGTACGTTAACAAAAAAGATGGGATGGGAGAACCTGGGGGCCGTTTCTCAAAACCAACTCCATGACTAGACTGATGACATTCATATCTTTGTCGGCGACCTACGGAGATGTCATGAAGTGGATAAACCGTTTCACGAAGCCATGACAGACATGATATTGATATATCGCGATACTAGCAGCTCAGGAACATAGTCTTTGTCACGATCCATTTGATTTATCACGAATAGATCTAGATCTAACCAAAACAAGTTTTGGGGCTAAAATTGTTCAAAAAGAAATAGACCCCTAGACTAGAGTCTATATACATATAAATTCTCCTAAAATAAATAATAAATAGTGTCATTATCAAATGTAGGTCATCAAACTATTTGCATATTTCTGTAAAGATTCTTCAATTAAAGAATAACCGGTAAGTGTTGTTTTTTCGACAGTCCAATCGTAAGGTAGTTGAAGGATACCGTAATGTAATAGTTTTATCAATAGACTCTACATACTTTTTTTGTTTTATGTGACGACGAATTTTAGACAAAAAAAGTTTTCTCAGTCAGTTTTATTCTAGAGTCTCATAAATACACGTTATATAATTGATTTGATATCAAAAATATAATTTGGAAGAAGTAATTAGAGAGGGAATAATAATGCACATATGCCCCCAAAGGTATGTGGTATCCTAAGAAAAGGCTATGGATCGACTATGGACAACGGTGTGTAACATTCTTATCTCTTTTATTTTTACGTTATAGTTTAATGATTTGTGATTTAATGTTTATATTCAGCTTTTTAAAATTTCTGAATAATTTGTATTATCACTTCTTTACATTTGTATTTCGCATCCCAGAGAATTACGTACCGAACTGGTCTATATTTTTCTCAAAATGATAGTGAAACTAATCGTACATTTCGCGGCCCATGGAATAGCAACAAACTGACTTGTGATGGCGCTTTACAGCAATTAAAAAGATATGACGGGTTCGGAGCAGTGACAACTCGCTTGTCGCGGAAGTTGTCGCTCATCTTGGCAAAGACGGCTTCGTGAAACACTTAGCTGACAAGTTGCGTGACAGTGGCGAGATGTCGTTGATCTTGTAGTTATGACGGTTTTGAGAAACCGCCCCCTGATGTAGGTCTAGCTATAACTCTGGGAAGCTCCAACACCGGCACCGGTGTTGGAGCTTCCCGGAGTTAGTCTAGCTAGGGCGCTGGTCCAAGAATGAGGATCGTCCTCATAAACGCGGACAAAATGCGTCCTCATAAACAAGGATCGTCTGCATTTTCGCTTACATTTTTTTTCATCGGCGCTCTGTGGGTTTCGGGTTACGGAACAGCCCGCTGGCAATGCCAAATTTGGAAAGTCGATGTAAAATGCATCAAGAAAATCATCCTGGAATCCATTTTTTGCATCGCCAATGTGCCAATCAAAAGTATGGAATATCTGCTTTTTTGCAGAAGATCCTTGTTTTTGAGGACGAATTGGTCCGCGTTAACAAAGACGATCATTATTCTCGGACCAGCGCCCCTACTGATGAATGGGTCTATGCTTCAGTTGTTTCGTTTGGGAAGAAGCTAGCGGGATGGGACTGTGTCAAGATTGACTGGATCTACCTACAGCTCCTGTATATGGCATGCTATCAAAAGCACGCAAATCATGCCATCCTTGATACGATATGGGAGAAAATCTCCACCCCGACGCGCATGACCTCGAAATGCACTTCCTTTCCATATTTTTACTTGTATTTGGTTGGATGGATAGTAAAGAGTGAGGTAATCATATTAGCATAATGTTTTGACCGGCTTTGTTTTTTAATTGTTTACAAGTGACGTCATAGCAAGTATGGCACCACCCACTATTAGTGCACAGGTGCTGTACGTGGTGTTACACTATCGCCTACCGGTATTGACAATTATTTTCTTTAAATTTCAGGTTGAAGCATTTCCATTTCTAAATGGGAAGGAAAAAGAAGCACAAGCATGATCGGCGGTCACGATCCAGATCATCATCTAGTGAAGATGATGATTACAGTAGGTCCCGTAAAAGATCCAGGTCTCGCTCAAGGTCCAGAAGATCCAGGTCTAAATCAAGGTCCAGGCGTTCCAGGTCTAGGTCTAAGTCACGCTATGAGGAAAGGAGAAGAGAAGACTCTTCTAGAAGGCATAAAGACAAAAAGAAATCTAAAGAGAAAGATAGATCAAGGTAGGTTGCTACATGGGTCGTTCTATGGTGTAAAAGGTATAGACCAGTTCTGGTCATGCGATTGCATTGTGAAAAAAAAGTGGAATCGATCAGAAAAGGTTGATCATCTAGCATATAAGTATTGGTGTGTACTGCAAGATTATGGAATTATCAAAATGATAAGAAATTTGGCTCCTAATGTTATGAACCAGATCAATATAACACTGAGTTCCTATAGGAAATCTATTTATTCAGATGGTCATATCTTATCCAATACTTAACATATTCAATTGTTTTTCGACATTTAGACATTATTTTTGATGCTCTTTCACTGCTCTATATACCAAAGTAGGTATATAGTACAGGGTTAGTTGGCCCTGCAAAAAAGCAGTGCTAACTTCGCAATTGCGGTGCCAAGCAAAGGAATGGGAACAGAAACAAAAAACAGTCCGGTACTACTCAATGGAGCGTTCCAGAGCTGGCCAGAGAAAAAGGAAGAAACCCACCGTCTAATCAGAGATGATGTTTTCATGAATATGCAGCGAATCTTGAAAACTGTTGAAATATGTTTTTTAAACAATTTCCATGCACTTCAAAATAACTAGTAACCCTCAATTTTGAAAGTGTAGAGATGTTTTCATACCAAAATGTTGGTATGGATTCATAGTAAGGAATCATTTTTATATGAATTAAACCTAAGTTTATTTGAATGGGATACCTGTCTGCAGGGGGCTTGGAAGCAGCACCCCTACATGTACATTGCCTTACTGTTCAAATAAATCCCATGTTAAATATATTACTCATTGCGGATGTACATGTAGTATCGGAAATAATATAGTATAAAACACGCTTCCTTACATTAATTTTTATTACCTGACGAAGTGTTGCAGCAGTGCACGAAACGTTGTGATCTTTTAGATCCCTTATTGACCACATTGCGAGACAAACAAATATCACTAAAGATATTATTTTCGAAATCCTATGTTCTTGGTGCAAAGGGGTTTAGATCTAGGTCCTTTATTGCAAGGCCCCTACTATCATCAGCTCAGGTGAGTGTGAGGTCCCTCCATGCATGGACCTCTCTTCTTATGTTAGCAAGTATCTTATGACAAAAAAGCTCAATGGATATAATGATGGCAAGAGGGAAGTAAGTTATCAATACACCACTTTTAGTCAAGCATGATGATTTTACTTTGAATTATCAAACAGATCTCACTCGAGAAATCGTAGCAGATCTCATGAACGTAGTTCCAGGACCAGCTATAGATCATCAAGGCGTTATTCAAGCTCTCGATCTCGAAGTCGTTCCAGAGATCGGGACTATTCCAGGTCCAGCAAGAAACGGTCCAAGAGAAGCCGCTCAAGAAGCAGGTCTAGGCACAGGTAAGTTGAGACAAATATTGGCTTGCAGTCATAAAGTCAGACAAAGTCCAGCTTTAAAGTGACTCAGTAACATTGTTGAAGGTTGATGAAAAACTGCGTAATTTTTGTTTGAAATGTTACTTACCGTAAATCTCTGTGTATAAGACGCAACTGTGTATAAGACGCGCCCCTATTTTTGTTTTTTGCCGACATACATATACATAACTACATATTGAGATCTATCAGAAAGATTACTTTCAAACCAAAATGACAAACTTGAGTGTTGTTCTAGTTTCTGAGTGGTGAGTCAACACACCGATTACTGAGCTGGGAGACATTGCCAGGCATAGCGCCAGGTGGAGTGGCATAAACCGGCGGCAAAAAAGTGCGTCTTATACACAGAGATTTACGGTATTATATTTCTTCTACTGTACTAACCCTCTAGCATGCAAACAATCCTGACAAAATTCTCAAATCACAAAGATATTTATTGTTTTCTTTGAAGGCGACATGAAAATGGGAAAATAACAGAAAATCTTAATTTGAGTGAACACCCTGGGTGTCATTCCAGTACACAGTACATCAATTGGTGGCATGGTACACATTACTATCTCACAAAGAGCCTTAAGAATTAGATTAACATTTACAAGCAGAAGATCCTTTTCAGTCTGAGAGATATGTTTACAAACAGGCAAATCTATGAAAAATACTAAACTTTGAACCATTATATCAGGCAAATTTAAGTACCAATAGTAGTATATCTAGATTTCTTTTTCTTGGAATGGGTAGTATATGTTATAGGATATACAGACAAAACAAACACTTTATTATAAAAGAGGCTGACAAGTAAATTAATCTGTTATACAACGGTGATATGTTCAAGATTGCCAGGCACTCTTCATATGTTAGATTGTTTACATCATTGTATGAAAAACAGAAACAGGTGTTAAACTGCTTTTAGCAATCGTAATTGTAAAAAAATTACACTCTGCACACTGTGAATTTTAAAAGAAACAATTGAAAGTTGTGGCAACTTCAAAACATGTTATTTAGCATATATGTACCGCAATATCTGTGTTTAACACTTGTCTGCTTTTTTCCATGAAATGAAAATAACAATCATACAATTTTCTACTCATCCATTATTAAAGGTCATCGTCAAGGTCATATTCTAGGTCAAGGTCAAGATCAAGGTCATCAGAAAGAAAGGACAGACACAGCAGCCATGATTCCAGTCACTCTAAGAAGGGCAGCCGTTCTAAGGGCTCAGCTGAAGGAAATAGTGAAGCTACTACAAGCATGGTAAGAGTCCCTTTGCAATAATAATTTGCTCTTATTTACCCAGGCAGTTATATCAATACTGATACTAACTGCTCTTCCCGGCCATAGACCCTGCGATAAGCGAGTTCGTAGTTAGGCACTGTGTACATGTGACGTTAGAGGTCACAGGGCCATTTGGGATAAACTGCGGGATCGCGGGCGCTGCGTTTTACCTTTTCTGGCGCGTACGTGTTCGCTATGTGAACAAAGTAAATGTGAATTCGCGTGCGTTGTACGTTCCACAGCTTTTATTATTATTATTATTATTATATTATTATTGTTATTTATTAGGCCAATCATAAAAGCACAATACAATGACATTTTGACAGATCATGCAATACATAAACAATACAAGAGGAAAAGGGAGTGAGCAATGTGTGGGCCAGGTTTCACAAAAGTGAAATTCAACACTATTACCCGGAGGCATGTAAGCCCTCACATGTTGCTCTCAAATCAACTTAGATATAAACATAACATTGACGTACACACAATATTGCACATTGTTTAAAAAAATATATATACATCTTAACTCCCCCCCCCCTCCCTCCAGAAAATACTAAAATGACACATTTTTTACATATCACATATTCCTTTAAATATGGACATAATTTAGATGTACCAAGAAAATTATAATTATTATGATACAAGCAGCACTATATTAAAGTAATGAGGAATTAAAGAGTAAAGAGGCTGGTATCTTCAACAGGGTTGAGAAAAATCAATGAAATCAGACATACTGTAATGTATGGATATAAAGCCTACAGTATGCAAGGGCCTTGAACAGTATCAAAATGTAACTGTATAAATGATGTAAAATACAAGTATGAAGATAACCGAGACACAAACGCATCCACATGCGAATTCCATTGCAGGTCGGAGCTTATAACTACGCCGAGGTACCTAAATGTGCAAATAGGATCTATCTGGGTAGCACCTAAAAAGTAAATAGGAGGTTCAATCCCCTTTTTTCTTGTCACATGCAGAATCTTAGTCTTTGCTGCGTTGAATATCATGTTGTTCCTATGGGCCAACAAATGCAGAGCATTATTTTAGATCATCTTAGAGTTGGACTTCGTCAATCGGAGATGTGATCTCCCTGAACAATAGTACATCGTCAGCAAAGAGAACACATTGGGAAAGAACTGAGATAGGCAAGTTGTTGACAAATAAGTTGAACAGCTTTGGTCCAAGGACATTCCCTTGGGGTACCCCTGATTGGACGTCGGTCCATTCAGAAGTAGAGCCCATAAAAATAACACGTTGAATCCAGAGAGAAATTAACATATCCAGTGCCAGAATTGACCCTGGACATTGAAATCTACAGCTAGTTTAGAGAGCAAGACATGGTGGGGCATTTTTTCAAAGGCCTTTGACATATCAAGGAACACGGCATCTTTTCTTGTTGGACGTCTCTTATCCAGTGAAGTACTCCAGCTGTGCAATACATTAACCAATTGGGTCACCCAACTTTTTCCTGCTGTAAACCCATGTTGATTAGTCCAAAGCAAACCATATAAATCAATGTGATTGTGCAAGGCAGTTGCCACAAATCTTTCCAATAGCTTACTGAGTATCGAGGTCAGAGCGACAGGTCGATAATTTGAAATACAAGACCTATCGCCGCCTTTATGGACAGGAGTTATGTTGGCGGATTTCCAAGATGTTGGCACTTTCCCACAGCAAAGAGACGTGTTGAACAGTATGGAGATTGGGTGAGAAATTTCAAGGGCAACTTGAGAAAGTATACTAGGGAGGAATACGTCTGGACCAGGAGACTTGTTTTTCTGTCATTTCAGAAGAGCTATATAGACATCAGAAGCACAAAGAGACTAACAAGTTTGATATCTGCTAGTCGTTTCATTTTCGTTCAATTTTGCTTATTTTTCTTTGAAATGGATGACGATGAATCTGTTACCATTGACGAGATTTGTTTGTGAAATGTGTCATGTTTGAAGTGTTTTTTTCTGAGAGCCTATTAACCTGAAGGTTTCTGTGAGGAAAGATGAGCTTGTCGCCCTCGTCTTTGCGGCAATGAAATTTCCAGATCCTGCCCCTGCAGCCACGGAGTTCTGCAGGCGAGAAAAAATCAACTGATTCAGTTCAATTAAGGAATGGCAAAATAACAAACAAAATGTGCATAAGACTAAATCATGTACGCTATAATTATTTTAAGCGATATACGGGCTGAATTAGCATGGACAAAGAGCCTTCATACATGTATGAGTTATCCTTAACACCAGTTATTAAATTTCAAAGTCAGAATCAAAACAGCTTATACAAAACATGATGTTCATGTATGAGGCAATGGCATACCTGTATACTAGATACCTTCGCCTCTGTGGAGGCAACCGCCAATGGCGAAAATAAAATTACTTAATAATTTTCTAATCACATACAAAACGAAAGGAAAAGAAGGAAAAAATATCCAGTTGCCTGCTCAAGATGATTTGTGAAAAAAAAGTGATGTCAAAATCTTGTATCTAGAATGTAACTAATGCTGACAATCCCCATTCATTGCCGTGTGTAAGCATAGCGCCGGTCAGTAGTTTATCCCTAATGATCACAAATTTTCCCGCATGCGCAGAATCTACGAACTACGAACTACAAACTTGCTTATTATCATCCCCCCCCCCCAGCATTGTCAGGTACCCATCCAATACATTGTTGAGAGGGACAAATGTCGGGGAAATACACTGTACCTTGTCCAACAATGTAGCACCAAGCAAGAATTGAACCTGAAACCTCTCATATGAAAATCAATAGCCCCTTCACCAATATATTGATAATTTGCTGGTGGTATTGCCTCATGTGAAATATCTGCAGTTTTATCTTGAACTTTCACTAACTCATCTCTCTGACTGTTTGCTTTTGCCCATTTTAATAGATTTATCAAATAGGATGAATTGTCCATTTATCCAGTGGGTGATTGGGTAGAGTAAAATAGCAAGTTCCCCCTTTTGAAAAAGAAGTAAAGAAACCCAGTTTGTTTGATCACCTCTACAAATAGATTTTTTAAATTTTACACCTTTATTTAATGTGTTTAAATTGCTACAGTATATTACAAACTTTGTTAATCCAGAAAATTATGTTTTCCTTCTTGACAAATGAAATGAACAATGAAAGTTTTGAAGACCTTGTGAAAGTTTGTGAATCTCAATGTTATTGTTTATCACTCTTTAAATGCATGCATTATACACATGTACATGTACATGTAAGTATGTAATACATGTACATGAAGTTTTATGTAATTTGAATTAATGATGGAATTGATTTAATGTCCTTTCAGAACCCAGCAGAGAGCATCAAAGTTAAGATGCAGAAGGCTCTTGAAGCTGCAGGTATGTTCTTTATAGACTAGTGTTGTAACATCACAGATATCTCCAATTCCGTTTAACCGGCAGTCAAAACCTAACAATGTTGTGTTTAGAAGTATGTGTAAGATCATTGATGTAAATTAAAAAACAGTAGAGGACCTAGGATAGAACCTTGTGGTACGCCATGTGTAATAGAAGAAACATTGGAGGAATTATTATTATAAACTACATATTGAGATCTATTAGAAAGATTACTTTCAAACCAAGATTACAAACAAATTGGAGTGTTGTTCTAGTTTCCGAGTGGTGAGTCAACACACTGATTACTGAGCTGGGAGACATTGCCAGACATAGTGCCAGGTAGAGGGGCATAATTCGAAACTTAAAAAAAAAAAAAAACAGGAAAAAAAAAACATCCAATTGAAAACGGATATAGCCATGAATGGTCGGATACCAGACGGTTAAACGTTTGACTACAGCACTATTAAATACACAGTGAAATATCTGCCCTCAATGCTGGGAGCATTCTCTCTTCATTTAGTTGAAGGTAATTACAAGAAATACTGAGCAAAGAAAATAAATGTCAAACTAAACTCATGGGCCCAAACCTCTATAGGACTGTGCTGCAGTAGTTTAAAATGAACACCAAACTGTAATTTACTTACATTTGCTAGCTTACCTGATTCAGGGACTCCTCAACTATACTCTTTTATTAAAGGGGGTGTTGCATGACAAGACTGTGTCTTTCCCGTGGCCTGTCTCGGGGCCAATCGGGTATAATACGACTACGGACGGCGCGACCGCAGCATTCACGTGCGTGCAACATACATGAAACCGAAGCATTGGGGGAACTTAGGTCTGTTTCGCGAACGCTAGGACGCGCGGAACGTTAATCAAGTCCATTCGTTTATGTGCAGTTTTTTAAAAAAAGTCGTAGATGGCGTTAACCAATATTTGCCATGCTACACTCCCTTTAAACTAAGGGTTTTCTAGATGAAAATCAAATTTGATTATTTTCCCCTTCCTCAACTATAATCTAATGCGCACAAAACGTAATTATATCCAATTCTAACACGTACAGCTATGCAGCGGTACATGTATTTCAAATAAGCTTACAAAATTATAAGTGTATAAATCTTGTATTATTAAAATATCCATAATATGATACTGAAATATAAACAGTCAACATTACCTCATCTTATATTTTTTCAGATCCAATGAATAATCAGCACTCAGTAAATTTGTATGTTACAAGCACTAGATTTATCTTGGAAATTTGTGATAACAGTGCTAAATTAAATCACCATCTTTTGGTTGGAATTACTAATAATCAAATTTGACCCCGCTTTTGGGCCCCCTCTCAAAACAAAAGGAAAAAAAGAATTCAAATGAAATGTTAACAATGTGCTACCTTCCGCTCTAAAACGCACAGTTTTAACATAGAAAATCGTCTTGCTCAATTGCTTAAATCAATCAATTGAATTTGTGAGGGAGCTACATGTAATAGCTCCCTCACAAATTCAATTGATGCAGTACTTCTTGTACATTTCAACCTATATCAAAAGGCCTCCTAAGTGAGATTGGGGCAACAGTTAATCTTTACAAATAGAGGATAACAAATCAGGGAGCCATGTACATGTAAAGTGTAAACAATTCTTTGATAGTGAACGTTTCATTCCACAAGTCTTGTAAATCAGGCGTCACACCACCCCACTTAAAATAAAAACTTATGGAAGAAATTTCTAGCAAAATCGTTCATATTGATAATCACGTATGACTAGTAGCACTACAGTCAAGAGTAGCAGAACACATACAGCAAACTTTTTTGTTCAAATATGTAAAAACAATTACTTTTTGACAGGAAGTGGCTACTTTTTGTCAGCCTTGGGGTCAACATTTTAAAGCAATAAAGGATTTGTTTGTATGTGTGTCCTTGGAAATCAGGATGTCAATTCTTATGAAAACTTGGTTCCAGACCTTAATCTTTTCTCCTTCACATCATATTATAAGTCATTCCTAGCAGGCTAATGTGTTTGTCTAGAAGGTAAATTTACCTTACCAGTTTATCACTTAAGTTAACAACTTTATGCTAAAGAATAAAGAACCCAGTGGAATGACCCATATATGCAAGCATTACGATATTGACAACATTTAAATGAGTAAAAGAAAAATGAAATTATCACAATCTCTAATACCACTCTTGCTTTCAATGCAATAACCTTGATGTATATTTTATCTCTTCCTCTCTATCTCCTTGATTTAAAGCTTCTGCTGATGCCAGATTGAGAGAGCAGGGTGTTCTAGCTAATGCTGCAAAACAAGGTAACACCATATCTTCTTTATATGTAGGGAATCTGTTGATGCACTTTGTATATATGTAGGGAATCTCTTGATGCACTCTGTATATATGTAGGGAATCTCTTGATACACTTTGTATATATGTAGGGAATCTCTTGATACACTTTGTATATATGTAGGGAATCTCTTGATACACTTTGTATATATGTAGGGAATCTCTTGATACACTTTGTATATATGAAGGGAATCTCTTGATACACTTTGGATATATGTAGGGAATCTCTTGATGCACTTTGTATTATGAAGGGAATCTCTTGATACACTTTGGATATATGTAGGGAATCTCTTGATACACTTTGTATATATGTAGGGAATCTCTTGATACACTTTGTATATATGAAGGGAATCTCTTGATACACTTTGGATATATGTAGGGAATCTCTTGATGCACTTTGTATATCTGGAAAAAGAAAGTTTCAGAAAGCTGTTGGACTGTTCAAGAACAATTTATATGTGTTATAACAATAACAAAGTGTAGGCACAATTAATTTTTTACATTCATTATCTTGTTCATTCATGCATGTATTAAAGGGGAAGTCCACCTTGCTACTATCTTGGTTTTAATAAAAGCCGAAAAATGATAGACACAAATTGGTGAAAGTTTGAGCAATATCTGATTTAGCGTGGTAAAATCGCTGCTGAAGGCCGCACTGCACTGCAAGCTTCCATTTTTGTATCCGTAATACTCATAGAGATGTGCATTTGGGCGATATGGCACCATCTTGCGGCAAATAAGCGTGCATTTATTTACAATATGGCAGACACTGATAAATTCAAGTGAGAAAACCTGCAAGCTAATCTTACTTAAATAGTTCCATTTAATTAATTTAAGGTTTAAACCCAATATTGTGTGAAAGTTATAACAGAAAAGATAATCTTTATTTTATAATTCCACGGGGGTGATTTTTAATTTTGCAATCGCCCCAGTGAGCAATCTGACGGAGGCAATTTTGTAGCTGACGGGTGCAAATCTCCTGTTGCCCCCGTGCATTTTGAATCTTGCTGTCGACTCAAATCCAGGAATGTGAAGTGATACTGCGTTTGTCACTGGAAGGATACATTTTAGTGCCATGTAGTATACATGCACATGTGTTGTTTACTACATTAAGTGCTAAAGTCAGTTTTTATTTTTAAGTTGTCTTGAAGAAGTAGAAAATCAGCCATAAGGATTGAAAGAGAAATATATTAATTTGAACATCCTTTATGAGCTATTAATACTGAAGGCACATTGTACATGTATCTTTCTCTTTTTTTGTCTGTCTTTCAGAAATATTATCACCAGCAGAAGTGATGTGTCTCCTACTTGAATTACTGCCTACTTTAACTCTTATCATGCCACATGGCTAATCCCCATTGTGCCAAGCCCCAAATCCCCCTGTGCCAAGTTTGTTTTGAGATAATCTGATTAACGTGATGGTTCTATTAATAGCACGTGCGTAACACAGCACAGGGCAATGGGCATGAACAATGACTGCTACTACGAATGCGTGCAAGCATGCACAGGGCAGCGAAGCAATGGTTCGCTCGCATGTACAAAGCACTATAACGGTAACGTGCATGCAGCCTTATGGCAGGCTATGAGTTAAGCCAATTCCACTTTGTTTTCATATTTCAGAAATCTTAACACCAGCAGAGGAACTGAAGAGGCAAAAGATCCTTGACAAGTTAGAAAAAGACACCTTTCATCCTAAGAACTTCTCTTCATCTGCCGGTGATGTTAAGGTACATTTTGAATGGTTGCATGATGAATCTCTAACTTTGAAGGGGACTTCCCTTGTTGTTTTGCATCCCTTGTTGTTTTTCATCTTCAGAATATTGTTGTTGTTGATATTTTCTCTATAGTTTTTAATGGTATTTCCTGGAAACCTAGACCATTATTCTTTTCTTTTTTTCATTGAAAAATGGAAAATAGCCCCCCCCCCCCCCCATATCTTTAAGCTAAGGATTTGGAACAAAACATAGATGACAAATATAGTCAAAGCTTAACAATCAACAACATATTTCTATGTAACACTGGTGGTGATGCATATGGATATTATTAGGTAATGCACTGGTTCCAAAATAATTGGAATGTATTTACCATATTTCATCAATTTTTAACATAAAATAAGTTTGACCCAAGAAAAACACAATTAACCTATTGAAATTTTAAAAAATTAGGGCCTTTTTTCACTTTCAAGTGATATAAAATCACTTTTTTAAGATAGAAACTTTTGCATTATTAATCCCATATTTCAAAAGACCAACATAAATGTTGATTTAGTATGTAGGAAATCAGTTGATTGATACACTTTATGAATTACGGTAACAACATATTGATTTCCATTGCAGGCTAAAGACTCTCTACAAGGGATGACATCAGATGCATCACATGACAGTGCCATATTTGGTTCTGCTCTGGATGGAACTGACCCGACCGCATCGACACAGGCGTTCTTGAGAGGACCTCGCTACAAGACCAAGACTTTTGCCAGTCAAGCGGTGAGTAGATACAAAACATGAATACACTTTCATTTCAAACATTGCTGTTATGTTATAGATCTATCGACTGCTGTGAGATGCCTGGCTGTTTTATAGGCTCAAGGAGACATTACATCCTCCAATGACCCCCAGGCGTGCCAAGGGGTCATGGGAGGATGCAATGTCCCCAAAAGCCAAAGCCAGGCCTCGAATATTAAAGCAGTCGATATGTCTTTTACTGTATATACCGAATTGACACAAAAATCTACCAAAAATTCTTACCTTATCCTTTTCTTGAGTAAAGATTCGTTAAAACATCAAAGAAAATCTGAAACACTGTCTGTTTATAATCTTCGCTGAAAATGACTGACAAAAAGCACTGTATGGTATCCGCGCTTGCCCAAACTAAGTTTTAAACCCGGAAACCAATGGGGATCGCAGCAAAATTTTACTATTTTGGTGGTACCCGGAATCTTGCGGGCATCTCACTCATGAACTACATGTATTAACCGGTAGTGGCATTGTAAAGGGAATGGCTAAAATCAAGACTCCAATTTCGACCAATCAGATGGCTAGATTTCTAACGAGAGGCATATAAATCTTAATTACCAATCTTCCATTAGTGTATGGTGTATTATAAATCAGAAACCTTTGCAAGCATAAAAGTTTTGGAATTTTGCAGCCGGTTCAGATTCAAAAATTCAATTCAATCTTTTATTGGTCCAATGTACATTCAAACATAACAAATTGTTTCGCTCACATTAATTGAAAGGCTCAAGTAATAACACTGTATTTGTGTTATCAATGCAGAAACATTAACCAATTGATGATATAATCAAATAATGTGATTTACATGATATGAATAATAATTGTGTTTAATTCTTGGTTAATTTGTATATTCTTTACTTAAAGGTATTACAAAGTTTTGGTATGGGGTCATGAATTTGGTTCAAATTAACATATTAGAAGCATATATGCAATTTTACAATATTCGAGTCTAAAGTGATGAAATTGTAAATAATAAACTCTATATGTTGTATAGCGCCCTTCAAGGCTTAGCTTTAAAAGAATGTTTTTTTACTGCAAGCGACCGATTTTGATATTCCCGTTTGGAAATTATATATTAGAACTGCATATTCTGAGATTTTCCGAATAGTCGCAGCTACCATGGAATGGCCTCAGGCGCTATTTGAATTATTTGAAAAATGCTGGGAGCACCGGTAAATTTTTGATTATTCATTTCTCAAAAGTAGAAGTGTTTTAGGGGCTAAATTTAGTGCTTATAATACATCCGCAGGGGCATCCAAATATATCAACATTTTAAAGAATTACTATCAATCCAATTTACAATTTTTTCCAAATATACATGTACATTTGTACTATATGATACACAAATTGCATTATATCAAATACACAGATGCATTGGCTTCTACATGGAGAAAAGACAATAAAATAATTATGAATTTCTTTGAATGATTAACAGATCTTGAAAGGTAGTGTCAAATTACATAAATTGTCTAATCCACAATAATACTCAAAACGTTTGTACAGTGTTGAGGAACCTAATAATAACATTAGTGTTAACTTTTGATTTATTTTAATTTGGGTACCTATATATTGTACATGCACTTTTATGAAGAAAATATGACTTATATGCACATTAAATGTTTGATGTTAATCCGGAAATATGTCCATAATCTAAAATCACCCCGAACATGTCAGTCTAGTCACCTCGTTTGTTTTCATCATACACATGTACATGTACCATTTTATGCGGGAAATGTAAATAATTTTTCCATTAATATTATACTAATCTGCATAATATGCAAATTATGTCATTTTTGTTTATAATATCAATCTGAAAATGTGTTCATCACCTAGAAAATATTGGTTTCAATACCTAAATCTTGTCAATTGGGTACCTGGATGCAATTTTGTAGCGATGTTGTGTATTTTTTCATAAGATACAGTAAGAGCAAATTTGCATATTATGCAAATTTCATAAATTTCCCATACTTGGATTCCTTGAGACTGTTGATATTTAGTTGTTTAGGGGAGCTTACTGAAATGTATAGCAATGGCATAGATTCCTTTGCAATTAATGGTGGATTACCTCCTTAGTATCGCTAGATTGACTGGACTTACATACTTCTGGTCATTTTTAGAAGACTGGCGGTCATTTTGAACGCCATTTTGGATGCCATTTTGGATTTACTGGTGACCAAAATCCATTGTAATGTTTATTTATGGATTCTTTGACCCCCAAAACCTAGGTACATGTATATACATCAAAACCACATCTAAGATGGAACTACAGTGATTTATGGCTGTTTTAAGGTATAGGCCGTCATCTTGAGCGCCATTTTGAAAATAACCATTTCTCGGGGGTCCGATTTTGTTAGGTTTTTAGTTAGTACCGGTATGTTGTTCCTGATGTCAATCACTACAGGAAACCTTTAACAGCCTTTATTTTATTGAAATTTGTTGGAGGTCAAATCCTATGGTGACCTGTATTATGTACAGTGTAGCCTGTCAGGTGAATGTCCCTTGATTGCTGGTCAACTACAGAAACCTATTTACATGTACATACAAGTACATGTAATCAGATACACTATTTGTGCTTATTTATGTCATGTCAAGATTCATGTAACCCTTCAGGTGATGAATGTGTTGATTTTCGTTCATTTGGTAGCATTCGTTGAGAAGTCTTGGATAAACATACCAGCAAATGCACTAAGGGCTTTACATGACATCCTTGTTCATGAGTTTGCACATCAAAAGTGCCTGTATTTTCTGCCTTTATTGGTAATCAAAAACCAAAGTGATCGTAAATCAAGTTTACATGACATATGCAGAGCTGCCAACCCTCCTGGATTTTTTTTGGGAGACTCCCGGAAAATCCACCAATCTCAAAATCTCCCAATATCCCGATACGCATACAAAATCTCCCGGATTTAGTCCTTGTAATGCAAATCTAGTACGCAATAGGATCTTGTGCGATGTTGGATGTTGGAATCATTTCCGCATATGATATGTGAACGTAGTGATTCCAACATTCAGTTTGTATTCTATCAGGATGACTGCTATATATGGCATTATGGTGTATCTAGGAAAACTTTGCCTTTCTGAGGTTTTTCCATTAACAGGGGGAGGGGAGGGGGGGGGGGGGTTGGCCAAAATTCTAATTTGTCCTACTCTCAAGCGTGATTAAAGATGCTTTTCAAGATACCAGCACCTATCTTGAGTCACTTTTATTATTCTATTATTTGTGGCAAAATACCGCTATACTAGGTAACAGTGATGGGTTAAAGATAAAGACCAGTTATGGTCATGCAATTGCATTGTGAAAGAAACATTGTGGAATCAATCAGAAAAGGTTGATCATCTAGCATACAAGTATTGGTGTGTACTGCAAGGTTCTGGAATCATCAAAATGATAAGAAATTTGGCCCAGTCTTCGTAAAGTTACAAGCACTGTACACAGAAAGATGTATAAGGGACTACGCACACGTGTGCAACACGTGCGTTTATCTCTCACATACCAATAGATAAACTAATTTACCAAATATATCAATTAATAGGCGTTTTCCCGGCAAAAATGTTATCATCATGTATTAGTCTAAACATATTCTTTCACATGATTGGTAATAAGAGCTTCCATTTCATTTTTTGAAATTGGGGCATTTCCAATACTGGTCTTTACCTTTAAGACGTATTTATACAATGCATCCCAGAAAAAACGAAACCAAGAATTATCTATGTTTCATCATAACTTAATCACAATTCTAATTAATAAATGACACATATTTGTAAAGCTTAGATCCTCCGCTTTCATTTGATGCAACTCATATGATGAATATTTCATGCACGAGTGATTTAAAACAATGTGACGAAAAGGTACCAAAAAGTCATTTGGTGAACGGTATCTGAATTTCAAAGAGAAATTCACATTTCCAGAAAGTTCATTTTCTGCCATTGCCCTTTCATATGACACCTCAATCAGGAATGTTGAGCCAGGAATAACAAAGTTCAAAGGTAATACAAAGTTTTGGTATGGGGTCATGAATTTGGTTCAAATGAACATATTGGAAGCATATGCGATCCTACAATATTCAGTGATCGTTGTCGTGGTCGAAATCGAGTCTAAAGTTATGTAATAGTGTAAATGGTAAACTCTTTATGTTGTATAGCGCCCTCTCAAGACTGATATAACTGTAGCTTCAAAACAATGTTTCTTGACTACAATCACCGATTTGCTATTCCCGTTTAGAAACTATACATCAGAACTGCATATTCTGAGATTTTCATGGTTGCAGCTACCATGGAATGGCCTTGGGCGCTATTTGAAATATTTGGAATTTATCGGGAGCACCGGTAAATTTTTTATTATTCAATTTCTCGAAAGCAGAAGTGTTTTAGGGTTTTAAATTTTCTAGTACTTATAATACATCCACAGGGTCATCCAAATATATCAAAATTTTAAAATATTACTATCCATCCAATTTTCAAAATTTTCCAAAACTTTGCATTACCTTTAAAGTAATGCTTGCATTTCCATAATTCTATTAAACGAATCCGTTCCACTGGCTGCCTGTCCAAACAACAATGAATATGAAAGACTTCATGCAGACTTCACAATCAGCCATGCATTAAGTCTTTTGTCAACTCTGTTTGTTGCTTATGCCATACGGACAGACTGCAGTGCATATTATGCGAATGAGGCTTACATTGTATTATAGTGAAGATTTATTCAGCAGTTTATTCACAAACTTGACTGATTTGCGTGCGCTGAACTGAGTTATTTTGCAGTGTCACGCTTTCATGATGAAAGAGAGTGTTATCTTCAGTGGTCATGGTGGAATTCAATAAATTTGAGATTGTTCAGAATTTGCTCTTCATTTCTATACCTAATTTAACATAATCCATAATTTTTAAAGTATTATTTTCACAATAATGACGAAATGATTATTAGACCATATAATAATTATAATAATAGCTAGTTCTTATAAAGTGCTTTTCAG